CACGTTACCTAATGTTGCATAGGCTGTTACACACCCTGGGGATGTCCATCAGGTGAAGAGGGACCTTTTCCTATCCCTCTCCTCTCCTCAGTCCCTTTCCTCTTCTCAGCAGTTCCAACACCAGCTGCTGTAGCCCTGCCTCTTTAATGATGTGCCGACATTATGATGCTAACGACATCACGACCCGCCAAAACGTTTGCATTCAAATGTTTTGGGGGCATGGCTATACAGTTTAAAAAGAAAAAGACTATAACATGTTTTTCTTTGGGCATGGATCATTACCCTAGTGTTGTTGTCATTTTTATTTTTTAGTGCTTGTATGTTCTGTGTATTTCTGGTTAATTGGTCTCGGATATTCTGACTATTCTCAATTCTGTAATTGAGTGACTCGGCTATTGTTCCTCGCTTTCCTGATTTCTGTTTTCCCTGATTCGACTTGTCCCTGACCATTCTCTGTCTATCAAATGGGACCAGTGTATGTTTACTCATTATCATGGGTCACTACAATCTCGTGACAGCTGCACAGTTAGCCTATACTAACTACACTGCTTTCACTAGTTATGTCATTTTGGCTGATAGTGACTTTTTAGCTAGTTATTTTACAAAACGAAGATCTATTGGATTGAAATATAACTTCTGGGTAGGCAACTGCAGTGAGCTTAATTGTCATAATTGTCATTGTCATAACTGTCATGCGAATATCCTTGGAGAAAACCTGATCTGGTATACTAACTGATTTATGTTCTAAATGTGTTTTTGCAGAATAATATATATTCTATTGTAACAATCATTCACTACAAGAATATATTCTCAGATATTTGCATGATAGTTAGTATATTATTCCTCTCTAATAATTAAATATGTATTGAGCAAACCAAAAAAATGAAAATACATTTTCTAATATATAAAAAATTATTCACTGTAAATAACTTAGAGATTTATAAAAATAGCTATATTGCTAATGATCGAGGTGAATGCAATTGAATTCAACATGTCAAGAAGCAATGTTTTTTATTATAAAAACTTAAATGCGTTTTTTTTTGGGTAGATGTTTTTTCTTTAATGTGGCTTAAATATGTTTCATAGAATTGTATAACAGCCTACACAAATGTCATCAAATTCCACATCTTAATTAACATTACCAAAATTTACATCTCATTCTTCTAACCTTGAAACTCGACCTCATGTTTTAGAATTCAATTATGCAAAGTGCTAAATTACAGAAAATGTTATTGTTCTCATGATTGCACCTTGTTTAATAATTAGCTGCACAAGTGTACCTATTTTGCTGTAATGCATATGCCTTTTTCCAGTATACTCGACACTAACCAAAATATATGTATTTTTAATAAACATAACCGTATAAAAACATTTGCAATTTATGGGTTAATAAATAGAAAAACAATACTAAAATAAAAATGATCTTATTAGCAACTGAATACATTATATCTATATACCCATATACCCAATGATCATAATGCCTGATATAATTAAATATATGCTTCAAATTTATAATACCAATGAGCCTAATTTCAGTACAATACAGTGTTATTAAAATGTAATACAACTGTAGATTTTCTCAAGAGTTACACAGTATATGGTACTTTCCACCCCTTTTACTTAATAAATGTTCCCCACAAATCAAAGTAAACCCATGATATGAATCTCTATATATACACATCTTACTTCAATAGCCAGAGCTGTTGATGATGTAAATCATGAACCACTACTTCAAATCAAATAACCAAATAAAATAAAAACAAGTTGGATCCTGAATACTCTTGAAAACCAGGAGAAGATGTCCTCTCCTACATTTTCATGTGTAAGAGCAAGTAAAAGAAAGTAAAGGCTCCTTCCTCTCGTTCATTGGGCTTCAGGATGGAAAAAGTGTTTTGTTTTTTTACTAAACCAACAGATCCATAATCATTTAAGACAAAACCTATTTCCTGTAGCTCAGATAGAATTTTATGGAATCACACACATTTTGCTCATATAGTTAATGTTAATAAACTTATGCATTTTTTAAATTTATTGTTAAATAATAGAGGTTGAGATAGATTAGGTCACTAACATCTCTGACTTTTGCTACACAATGTATATCTATGAACACAAACCATAAGTTCATTTTCACTTGAGTGAAACATTTGACTATTTAAAATGGATAAACGTGTTGTGTGCCTTTTAGTGGTCAACCCCAAAAGTCTTAAATTACTTATTTATTGGATTATAATAAAAAGTAATCCTGTGTTCCTTGTTATTACCCATATAATTATTTACCATTTATGAGTTTTTCCCTATTTAGGCCAAACAGCAGTTGTAGAATATTAAAGAGGTATGAAATTGTGTTATTTCTTTTTAAAGGGTGTTAAATGTTAATGTTAGCTGTTTCTTTTTATGTTGGGTTGCAATAAATTGAGCCCTTGAGATCATATAGTAACACACAGTTAACACAATTGCAGAGTTCTTTATATGCAGAGCATTGGTAGACATCTAATTAAGGGAAGATGCATGTGTACCAACTTGGTATGATAAATGCATTTCCAAAGGATATGTTTTTTTCAGATCTAAATGTGAATGCACAATGTCAGACGATTGCCTAAAGAAATATTGTATATTACATATGTGATATATAGGCTATATATTAAAGTTAAAAAAAATATGCACATTTATAAAACCAATTAAAACAAAATACAAGAGAATTTACATTATATATTTTTTTATTCTACAAAATAGTAACATTTCCACAACTCCTAGAATAATAATTATCTTACTTTAAAAACAAATAACTGTGTTCAGTTTGACATGAATAATAGAAACAAATACAAACACGTCAATATTTTTTATAATCAATACTTGAATGATCTTGAATACAAATGGAGACCTCTTTTTGGTCCTTTGCAGAACAAGTCAATAGAATTTCAATATAAACATATGATAGAGCATAGCGTGGAGAGTACTTCAGGGGGCCAGGAATACCTTGGTATGAATAACTCACATCTCCCCAGCAACATATTTTACTTTTGCTTTTTACTCTTTAAGCACGAGGGATTTTAGAATACAACATTTCAAATGTATATTTAACTATTTGTGTTAAACCCATTTTCATTTTGCCAAGGTACCAGCCATTTATTTTCCATTACTGAAGCATTTAACTTCCGTACTGTCTGTAAAATTACTGGACTACGAGAAAATGATTCCATTGTAAAGGACACTCAGTAACTGCCTTTTACACAGATATTGGTTCTTTTGCATGCTTAAATGAGCTTAGTAGAGTTTACATGGAAGGCAAAGCAATTAAAACCAATTAGAAGACCAACTGTCCGTTGATAACCTCAGCTATGTGGGTACTAAAGTCTTTCCACATTTGCACAACATTTCAATACATCTCTATCATAACCTTTTCACTGATGAAGCCTAAAGGAGAAAATTATAGTTTCAAACTGTACTACTGAAATTAAACACAAAAATATTGTGTAGGGAGTCTGTGGATCCTAAAAATAAACCTACAGAACTCAAAACAGAAGCTGTTTCCTATAATTCCAAATGAATAAATAATAATAAAATAAAAAAATATTGTTTTAACACATCTATTCATATTTATCATTATGATAACAATTAAACAATTTTAATTTGGTAACATGAATCTAGACATTTCAGTTCAACTTAAAATGCTATATTACTGACATTTTATATGACAAATGAGAGACGATATAGTGATACATAGGCATAAATGATACATTTGAAATGTAAAACAAAATCAGGCATTGAAATAAAAAATAATTGCACATTATGGAACAATTTAGTGTTCCACTAGCTGAAACACATGTGTAATAATTATAAGAGTGTCACCAATTCTATTGACGTGTATGGGACCTGTCAATGGAATACATTAGCATAGTATCTCTCTGTGGACATAGGAGAGAACTGATACAGGGAAAAAAATTATGCTGGATTGAATAATGACACGTCCAATGAACAATGGGAATTTGTTCTTGGTAAGATTTTCTTTGAGGTTATTATTCTTATATTGCGGATTGAGTAATGACAAGTTCATGGAACAATCTGATTGTATCCTCAGTAAGTGTTCCTTTGAGCTTATGAAAGCCATAACATTAATTGGATATATTGTGAAACAAAAACATTATTATGCAACTGCATTGAGTATACAGCTTTTTGCATTCTTAAGTATAATTATTAAAACTACAAGCAGAACATTTGTTTAAAAGGAACATTATATGCAAAAAATATATACACAGAGTGCTCGTAGTCAGTGGTGTGTCTTGGTTTTGTGCTGCCCTAGGCGAGACTAAACTCGGGCACCCCCCTAATATAAATTTGACCCACCCCTTCCTGTCAAGGCCAAACCCCTTTCTGTTTAGGAGCCACCCCTTCCTCTGTAAACCCCACCCCTTCCTCTTTAGGCCCCACCCTTTCCTGTTAGAGCTTCACATCTTCCTTTCTGTATTTAAAAGTGAATAAGGAAAGCCAATATTTTGTGTTTTCTGTACCAAATGTTGCATCTATTATTTTAAGAGAATCTTTACATATAATAATATAAAGTGTAAATTCAACCACTTTACAAAGATCAGTCATCCAGGTCAACTATACTATATTGATCACAGACACTCAAATTGTTTGAAGTAGCACGTGGTCAGTCCACATGAGCAGTAACAGCACCAAGGCGTCAACAGCTGTTACTGGACATGCATACACAATTTGTGTCATTCATACAAGACAATCCCACTGTACATATCAACACATGCAGTCCATTACACTACTTTAGTCATAGCACAGACTTTCACACACCATTTACTTACATCAATCAATTCATCCTGAAACGGACACGATGAGGTTTTTAATAACTTAGATAACTTTAATTAAATATATAAATATATTAAACTGAAATGCAACTTGTTTAATACAACAAATAAAACTGTAAACATTTCTGACTTAAATAAGTGCAAACTGTTGAATATTAGACTATTAGATCTACTTGGAAACTAAAGTGGCTTTCGCCGAACTCTCTGTGTGGCATAGCTGTTGATAAGCTCATCATAGTCCAAAGACTTTGTGAGTTCAGACTCTATTGCCAACACTGCCAGGGAGTTCAATCTTTCCTCCCCCATTCTGGATCGCAAGTAGTTCTTCACTCGCTTCAAAGTCGAGAAAGAACGCTCAGCTGAGCAGTTTGTTGCTGCAGTACACAAAAACATTCTGAGAGCAATGTCCACATTTAAATAAATACTTTGCAATCCTCTCTCTCTTATCATTCGGGACATCGCCAGAACAGAGGTATCTTCTGCAGAATAATTTATGAAGTATGACCGAAAGTGGAGGCACTCATCAACAAAACACTCCTGTTCCAAGTCTTTGCTGTAAGAAGAACAAAGGTTATTTGCATGCTGTGAAATTGCTGATGGCTCAGTTTTTGATAGGTCAGTAATGAATTTAAACTTTCCAAAGAAAGAGTCATATGCCGTTTTTCTTCTCATAAGTTCAGCAACTAAGTTGTCACAAATAACATAAAAGGTGTTAATGCGAAAGTTTTCTTGGGCTACCTCTGCCTGTGTCTTGCTGGAAGTTGCTGAACCTTTCCTTGCTTGTACACCTTTCCTTTTAGACTCATAATCCTTCACAACTGATTTTTCCATTGCAGCAGCTTCGAAAGTCGGGAATATGTCTCTGGTTTCTCGAACAAACTGGATCAGTGACTCATACAGCTCCCCTACAATTCCAACATCAATGCCAATGCTTTGGAGTTTTTTGCTAACTGCACCAAATCTATCCAGGATAGTACTCCACAAACCACTCATAAGTGCAGTCTCCAGACGCTGTATTTTATTCAGAAGACCTTCAGCTTCCTTGCAGGTTCCTGGTGCCTCTGTGGTATTTTCCTTAATTTGTGTTAAAGCTTCGATTACTTGAGTCCAATTTCGATTTAAGCTTCGACAGGCATCTTCCCTGGCTGACCACCGTGTGTCAGATAATCTCTTTACCGCTAGAGTGTTTGGCACAGATGATAAATGTTCTTGTAAAATCTCCCATCTGTGAGTGGAAGCAGTAAAAAAAATGTAAAGGTATTGTAGGAGACCAAAGAATGAACAGGCTTCAGGACAACTTTCAGCAGCATGCTTTCCTACTAAATTCAAAGAGTGTGCAGAGCATGGAATATACACAGCAAGTGGGTTTCTTTCCAGAATTCTGGCTTGCAATCCTCTATAATGGCCAGACATATTGCTTGCATTGTCATATGATTGACCACGACAGTTGGCAATATCAAGATCATATGACTTAAGAGTGGTGAAGACCACTTCAGCCAGTTGTTCCGATTTATGTCCAGGATTTGGAATAAAACGTAGAAAGCGCTCAACCGGTAAGCCATCTTCCTTGACATACCTTAAGATGAAGGCCAGCTGATCCGTGTGGGAGCTATCAGGTGTTGAATCAACACTGATAGAGTAATATTTAGCAGCCTTTGCCTCCTTAACTATCTGCTTTGTAACAGAATCTGCCATAAGCTGAATAAACTGCTCACAGGTAGTGAATGAGAGGTAAGATGTGACTCCTTTTCCTGCACTGCCGTAACGGGCAATGTGTTCTGCTATAAATGGGTCAAATTCTGACAGAAATTCGAACATCATCATGTAGTTTCCGTTGTGTGTGGAACCAAAACGGTCATCTTTCCCTCTGAAAGCAAGTCCTCGAGTGCCAAGTGCCTTAACTGCAGCAACAACTCTTTTTAAAACATTTCTCCAATATTGAATTTCATCAGAACGCTGCTTGGTAAGACTTTCATCAATTCTCCCCAGTGTACATGCTCTTGATTTTAAAGATAGCACACAGGATTTGTGTTCAGCTGAACGCTCGTGTTCATTTAATCGAGCCGTGCCATTTTTCCAGTCATTGAAGCCACTTTCTGCCAACTGGGATTTGCCACCAAACAAACGACATGGAGCACAAAACACTACTCCTTTGCTTTTGGAGTAAACCAAATAGGTGCTTTTTTGTTTCTCTCCATTAAAGTTTTCTTTTTCAAAAAGGTGTTTAGTTAGCAACCTAGAATGGTCAGCATACAGCCTTCTCGACTGTGTAAAGTCCAGATTCTCATTTTGAATTATTCCATGTTTAGCCACATGGTCTCTGGTGCAGTCATTTAAAACCCATTCAGCAGGGTCAGAGCTCACTCCTATTTGTACAAAAGGATCATCAAATTCCACTGAACTCGAAGGACCTGATTCAGAAGTCTCAGTTTCTCTGGCAATACTAGTACTACTGGTAGCTAGTGAAGTATCATAACTGCATGTAGCAACATCAGTTTCACAGATGTCAGCAGTTAAATCTTCAACTACCTCCTCACCCTGCTCAGTTTTAGAAGAAGCCACAGGTTTCGCGAAAAACAGTTCAATTTTTCCTGTCTGTTCAAGCTCCCTGGCTTGTTTTTCACGCCTAATTTTTGCATTTTTTCGGTAACCTGCTCCACTTAGCCTTTTTCGCCCGTCACTCATGGCTGCTAAGAATAGTACCAATGCTGTGAAAATCAACTGAGATAGCATCAGTGAAAATCAACCGCCATATTGTCAGTGAAAATCAACCGCCATAACGACAATGAAAATCAACAGACATAGCGTCAATAAAAAAAATCAACCGACATAGCACCAGTAAAAATCAACCGACATAGCACCAGTAAAAAACAACCGACATAGCATCAGAAAAAAATCAACCGCCACAGCGTCAATTAAAATCAACCGCCACAGCGTCAATTAAAATCAACCGCCATAGCGTCAATGAAAATCAACAGGCATAGCGTCAATAAAAAAAATCAACAGGCATTATGTCAGTGAAAATCAACAGACATAGCGTCAATGAAAATCAACAGGCATAGCGTCAATAAAAAAATCAACAGGCATTACGTCTGTGAAAATCAACAGACATAGCATCAATGAAAATCAACAGACATAGCATCAATAAAAATCAACAGACATAGCATCAATGAAAATCAACAGACATAGCATCAATGAAAATCAACAGACATAGCGTCAGTGAAAATCAACCGCCGTAGCGTCAGTGAAAATCAACAGACGTAGCGTCAGTGAAAATCAACAGATGTAGCGTCAGTGAAAATCAACAGACGTAGCACATGCTGCCCGGCTATAATGGAAGGAGGCTCTGAAGGAGCATGCTGCTTCTCGTGGGAGGTCGGCTTGCTGTCTGCTCTCCATGGCAGCAATCAGACATTAATCAGGAAGCAGGGACAGAGCAGAGAGAGCGCGGCAAGTGTGAGGGGCAGGGCCGTCTTTAATATTGATTGGACCCTGGGCAAGAATTTACTTGAGCCCCCTGGATCCCGCCTTCCCACACAAAAATGTGCAGTGTCTGAGTATATATCAGCCAACCCACTGCTTTCCCATAGGAAAGCATTGGGAGGCTATTGCACATGCGTGGCAAAACAGTGCGCTGCACCAATCATCATCTCCTCATAGAGATGCATTAAATCAATGCATTTCTATGAGAAGTGTTCAGCGTGAATGCCAGTGCTGCACGTTGTGCAACACTGGACTAGGAAGCACCTCTAGTTGCTGTCTAATGAGTGGCCACTAGAGGTATTCATAGACAGTAATGTAAATACTGCCTTTTTTCTGAAAAGGCAGCGTTTACATTAAAAAGCCTGCAGAGACATGCTATAGACACCAGAACTACTACGTTTAGCTGTTGTGGTTCTGGTGATTATAGTGTCCCTTGAATATAGAGAAGAAAAAGAATCATCACAAATGTATGTATGAAATAAAATAAAATGTCTATTATCTAAAAGTTATTTTAAAAAAATAAACTATGCACATTCCTAGTTCGACACAAATATTTTGTATTTTCCAGATGTATAAAAAATATATAAAAATCTGTAAAATACAAAGTATTTGTGTCAGAAGTTGCACTTTTTTAATTTTTAGAATAATGATACAGGCAGCCATTTTATTTAATGTATTTGTGCTAATTTCTGTGCTGTTGGAGGGGGGTGAGGGGCAGTATTACATAATCTTTATATATATATTTTTATACATATACAGATTGTGTAATACTGCCCCTCACCCCCCTCCAACAGCACAGAAATTAGCACAAATACATTAAATAAAATGGCTGCCTGTATCATTATTCTAAAAATTAAAAAAGCACAAAATTTATTTTACAGATTACTTTAAAAAAAAAAAAAGAATGTGCAGCTAGTCCCCCTCTAACCACCCAGCCAGCCCCCCTTTACCCTATAAAACAACTAAGTATTTTTTTTGTGAAAAACTGTAATTTAGGTACTTACAGTAGGCTCAGGGATCAGGGCATTGGGGTTAGGGGCGGAGCCTGTGCCTCAGTGTTCAGTTCATGTGACCGTCTATGTGCTCAACCTAGAGTTGCCGGTCCGTGACTCCACCCCCGTGTGACGTCACGACTGCAATGCGCGGACGCAAAAGGCAGGGGAGGTCAGGAGGAAGTCAGGAGGAGGAAGTAAGTCTATCAACTCCTTCACTATGCGGCGCCGGCGATGCCGCTCGCATAGTGAGGGATCGGTTCAAACAAGGGGCAAAAAAAATATTCAGCATATTTTGTATCTATCACTAAGCAAACAAGGCATTTTGCTGCCCCATTGGCAAGTGCCGCCCTAGGCAAATGCCTTGTTTGCCTCGTGATAGATACACCTCTGCTCGTAGTACACACGTAAAAGCAAGTGAGAAAATTGCTAAGAAAATCTAAAGTTCAGCGCTCACTTGCAGTACCAACTGCCAAAAAAAATGTATAAAAAAAAGTGCTTATTCAAACTCCTTCACAAAATAAAATCAAACCAGCAAGTTGTGTATGATTTATTAGAATTCCAAGGCGGTTCTTAATGAAGCTGGAATATGAGGCATAACTATTAAAATATAGAATTTTTGACCTACCCAGAAAACACTGGCCAGAACATGGGATAACCCATGTTTATTCATTATTTGACAACAGGGGTCTTTTCCCTTTCCCAGAACTACAAAACTCCTATGATTTGCCACACCAGGATATCTTTTTTTACTTAAGAGTGAAGCACATTCTAAAGTCTGAAGCAATAGATTACATGGGTACGTCTTTACTTAGCAAAATAGGCCATAAATGCTACACGTTAGATAAAACACCGTACTCTTCCAAATTTCTAACATTATGCTATTTGACACAATCAGACATAAATACTGATAAACTGCCTTACATGCTAAAATGGGAGGAAGACTTAGGTAAGAGATTCCAGATAACAGAATGGGAGTCTACTATCACACTCACGAAAAAATCCTCAAACTGTGTCACTCACTGGGAAGCTTACTTCAAAGTTCTGATGAGATGGTACATGGTACCTAGTAGACTGAGTAAAATTTATCCCACAACCACCTCGGTATGTTGTAGATGCAACAAAGACAAGGCACTATAAAACACATTTTTTGGGGGACTGTACGAAATTATGTACCTTTTGGTCAAATATAAGCAAATGAATACGCACAGTGTCAGGTCTCAAAATCCCACCTACACCAGCTGGATATCTGCTCCATTTAATCCCTGACCTAGACCGCATTCCTTCTAGAGCCGCGGTTATCAATATCTTAGTAACAGCTAAAATAGGCATTGCTGCCCACTGGAAGAGTGACATTTGCCCTAACGTGTCAGAGACACTCTATAGAGTTAACACAACATATTACCACGAAAGAGAGTGGGCACAAAGAGGCAACTTATCCAAATTTCAGGATCAGTGGAACAATTGGGAATCCTCACATACACAATACGCTAACTTGAGTTAAACTGGTGTGGCATCAGAAGACCACCATACTATAATACTATACTACTACTAATACTATAATACTACTATTACTACTGTTCTGACTCACCACAGCACAACCAAATAACGAAATCAGACGTACCTTAACTACTCTCCCCCACCCCCACCAGCATATAGTGGTTTTCTCTATCCAATTCTTCCCCATCTATCCATACCCAAGTTAAGTGATGCATTCAAGGTGCAGATAAGGGGAACCCAACACCCACCAACTCTTACAACAGATAGCAACAATTTACGTATGGTAAACCGCAAATACATCAGCATCTTACACCACTTCAAGTGTCACGCACTTCAACTACTTATATCATCTAGGTGTCATATTTAAGCGGATCCTGGAGCCGTACAATAATGATGCTTTGTTTATACCATGCATATTGTATAGTTATATTTACGTTTATCTATCTGCTCTTCTCATTTCTCTCACTAAAATCCCATGTATGTATCCCAAAAATACATTAATACTGTGAACTGTAATGCATGTCCTAATGTGTTTTACATCCCACCTCCTATAGAATGTAAGCTTGATTGAGCAGGGTCCTCTTCAACCTATTGTTCCCGTAAGTTTTTTGTAATTGTCCAATTTATAGTTAAATCCCCTCTCATATATAAATGGCAATAATAATAATAATAATATGCATTTGTATATTATGCTTAAGTCAAATGTACATGGAACTATGTTGTGAGAATGTATCACTCACACACCCACCCCAATTTCTCTTCTGTATCCCCATGTTATTGTTACTTTCATGAAAATTCAATAAACATTAAACATGGGGGGAAAAAAATATATAATTTTAATGTTATGATTGGTATACACAGCATACATTTTGATACAATGTGAATATTAATAACAGGGGCAAATAAAACTATTTAAATTAGGGAAATTATACCTCTAGTACTTCAAATTGATATATTTAACAGTTAGACCAGTTACTCTCTTGCTTTGGAAGATATAGGAGTTAATTTTACATCCAAATAGGAAACAAAAATATGTTGAGTCAGAAGATTACATTTATTAGGATTCATCAGAGGTACCAAGCACTTAGGCCAGGACTTATAAATGAGTATATTATGATCACATGTATTTATTAGGTAACTAGCTATGATATGCTAATTTAAGCAGCAGCACTAACTTCCCTAGTGCAATGCAGAATCCTTAGACACAAGAGGGAGTCTACAAAAAGGGAATAGTACAATTACTAAATTCACAGAAAAGTGTATTTTGCATAATTATTGTGAATAAATACATTGATGATCTCAGCCAATCACCATGCTTTAACATAGGAAATAATTAGATTGGCTGAGGTCGTCAGTTCTGAAGATCGAAGCCAAGGAAGCAGGGTATGGGTGGAGTCAAATGTCACCCTGGCCAATCAGCATCTCTTTAATGCATCTCTATGGAGAATGTTCAGTGCCTCCATACAGAGCATGTAGATGCTGAATGTCAGTGTTGCACACTGTGCAGCACTGATCCAGGAAGCATCTCTAGTAGCTGTCTGAGGAGTGGCCACTAGAGGTGTTCCTGGGCTGTAATGTAAACACTGAAAAAGGCAGTGTTTAGATTAAAAAGCCTACATGGCTACTATACTAATCAGAATAACTACTTTAAGCTGTAATTGTTCTGGTCACTGTAGTGTCCCTTTAATGAATACTAGAAGAACAAGAAAA